CTATGCACAATCAGCTTGTAACACTCCAAAGAGAAAGGAAAACTTGAAATCGCATCATATGACCCCTTTAAAGAGTACTATGGTACATGTCTAAAAACATCCTGTTGTATGATACCTTTTTTATTTAAAAAATGACTTTAAAATATTATTTAAAAAATAAAATGAAAGTAAATTTAAAAAATGTAAATAAGATTTAAATAAGATGAAAATAAATACATAAAAATTATATTAAAATTAATAAATAGATAAAACAAGTAAACAACAGAGTAAATAAATAATTAATCTAACAGTACAGTGCTATAATTAGAAATAAAAAAATTCTAAATAATATTTAGGCATGTGTAATATTTTTACCCCACAGGTATAACCCTTCCTTATTCAATAAATTATATAAAAGCGTTTAAAATTTTAGGATGGTGGTCCCTTGCATCTAAAAGATTGAAAACACCTAGGCCTACCTTACACAAATGTAGTATGTTTTAAAATGCAATTTCCTTACAAATCCTATTTGTTACTTTAATTATTTGTGATGACAGTGGTGGTCAGTACCAATTCTTTACACATTTATTGTAGTAACACTCACTAGCAAACAGTTACCATGTTCAAGTAATCTAGACTTGTAATTTTGTCATTCTAGGGACTTTATCTCCATTCATTAACGGATTTATATGGTAATCATCAGTCAAATAACATGTTTGTTTAGCTATATTCTGCCGACGCAGTGAAACACAGTTGATGGGTTTTTCAGCCACAGTCTCTTTCAGTAAATGACTGCCATAAGTACATGAAACAACCGCTGGATGACATTTTACTAACGCTGTGCCTTAAGCAACGTGAAGAGAAGAAACGCATAAGAACCTTCAAAACAAACCCTGAGGGCTTTCATAACCTTGGAAACAGACAGCTAGCTAAGCTAATGGTGTCCGATTCGCTAAGGAATCATTCTCGTGAGTCGATTCTTTAGAACGATTTGCAACCTTAGTAACCAGTGTTGGGAAGGTTACTTTGGAAATGTAATAGGTTACAGATTACAAGTTACCCTATTTAAAATATAATAGTAGTGTAAATTTTTCAATTACTTTATTAAAGTAATGCAACTGATTACTTTTGATTACTTTTTGATTACTTTTCTAAATTTCTAATGAATCTTTATTTGCAACTGTTAGTTGTTAGTTAATCATTTTCAAACATTTACACCATGCAGGGTTAACCTTACAGTAGTGCTCAACACTGTCAGACTTTCAAAATCCTTCATCACTTGAATTAAAA